ACAAAAAACATCCTTGCGTCATCATGTACAGTAACATCTTTGCTTAGATATTCGTTTATGGATCAGTCAGTCCATGGAGGTAGGGGTTGTAAGATTCGTAACAGCTTTAAAATGTACTGAATATATGGATCAGTCAGTTCTTAGCGATAGGGTTTGTAAGATTCTGGGTAGCACTAAAACATACTGAACACCTAAGAGCAAGGAGTCAGTGTCATTAATTAGATTTTCTTCTCTGGAAAGTTGTATGATTGTATTATGCGCCGTTCCTGTGTCAGCACAGATCCTTCCCGCTGAAAGAAGAGGAGCAGAGCTTGATTATCGCAAAATATTTGGAAATGACTGGTTAGCAGCCGGTGGGAATTGCAACCCAGAGAAAAACAAACCAAGTGAAGAATTTCTTGCTGCCCATCCCAGATACCCATCGCTTTGTCTTAGTAAGTACAAGTACAGTAAAATTAGCATTTCCTCACTTCTGGCATTGTGGTAGCACTGGTTTGGTCTCTCTTCAGTTTCCCTTCCCCTCGATGCTTTTTTCATCTGCTTCTACCGCCTCAGGAAAGCCCAGCCGCTGGCAGGCCTGTGTGCGAATGGCTTTTGCTTCTGTGGGGCAGCTGCCTAGTACTGCACCCTTCCGGGCGCTGCTGCCTCAGGGACGATACCTGTGAGCATCTGCCCCATAACTCTACCGGTGAGCAGGCAGCAGCTCTCTCTACCTGGGGCTTTTTTAAAGTGGGAATGTTAAGCAGCACCTCCATGTGCCTGTCGCCCGCTCCACCCCATCCCACGTGCCTGTGCACCCTCCTGAATGCTCTAGCAGCTGATCCAGGCTCATGTCTGCAGCGCTTGGCATTGCAGGAGCCTACCACCTTCTATGCTCAGTATCCTAGCTGCTGAGGGAACTGAGGCAGCAGGCTCGTGCCTGATCCAACGCCACAGTGCTCTTAAGTCTACTGTTGAGTTTTAGTCTTTGAAGGGTTCACGTCTACGCGCGCTTTCGTTCACACAGAATATGGTGCACCTGAAGAAGGAGAACTGAAGGGACGACAGCCTTTGACTCTGAAAAATCAGCTTCTGAGTAAGAGGCCAGAAATGGTCGTTTGCACTTCTGCATTTAAAATATTTTACGAGCTTAGTGTTTCCTGGGTGTATATGGAGAACAGAAGGTTCAGAAGCCTTTGAGATGTCACAGAGTTCCAGCTTGTAATTCTGCTTCTCTGAACTGTGTGTTTCAGTGAGTTTGACTAGATACCTGCTTCTGTGTACTCTATCTCATTTCCCCCGTCAACCCAAGCCGAATCACTTTCTTAATTAAGACCTAATGGAGAATAGAGGTAATCAATACTTCATTCTGACAGTGTAAATGGCTTCTCCACGGAAGACACTTGAGATTTTAACCTGAACAGCTGCACTGTTTTTTCTGATAACTTTTTTTTAATATTTAGCTTCTTAACTTTAGGACAGTCAGGAAAGATACGGGTAGCTTTGGTATTTGGGGCTGTCTACATATTTAAACTAGGTTACATGCCAGACTTACAAATTCACTTAGCTTTGTTTCCCGGTTGATAGAACTGAACCTTTTTTTACTCCATGGGCAAAATAGTAGTTTAAGGCATTACATTCTAATGCATTGGGGTGGAAGACTAAATAGAACAAGGAATCTATTTGGCTAGACATAATAGAAACCTTTTTTAAGGATGAGTCTTTTAATCCCTGTAAAAGAATTAGGCTAATAACTTCCTTAAAATGTGCTTGTACGGTGCTTTTGAGATATTGAGGGTCAAAAACCTGCTTTAAACTGAGTAAGCAGTTTCCATTCTACTGCAGGTTATTTTAAAAAGTTAACTAGAAATTAAGCATTTTTAGATAAATACTCCTTTTGACCGAAAACCCAACATGTTAAGTATTAGGGAGTCACTTACTTAAAGTATTTTCCCTAATTTACCAAAGATGAATCAAAACTTGATTATTTTAATAAAATTACTTTTAATTTTTCAGAGAATGACTAAATGCTATCTTAGCTGCTCAGATGCAGCCTACATCCTAATTTTTTTAGAAGATTAGGCTGAGCTAGGGGAAACAGTTTGTAATAAAAACAGACTAGAAAGACTCTGTGCTCCTGACAGAACAGGGCTTAACGTTCATTCACTAATGCCTCACCATTCTTCCTTAAGCTTTGACAATTAAATGTCCTGAGAGACCTGAACAGAAGCCAGTAGAGAAGAAGCTACCAGGTAAGAAGTCTTGGCTTGTGTTTAAGCAGTTGATGTGTAGCTCCTTTTCAAATAACTGTATTAAAGAACGGCAGCTGCCTCTGTCAGCTCCTGAAGATTCTCCCCTGAAGACTCTGTCATATAAAGAAATGACAAAGGTAGAAATTGTTTAAAAAAAGTCATTATTTTTCTGACCTTCATACGTACGTTCGGTCCAGCTGGAAGATTGAAAGTTGATGCTTGTCTTATGACCTCTGCTGTTGGTTTCATGATTAGTGTGTCTGAGGCAATCAAAGGCTAATTAACTGGTATGAAATCTGGTGGATGTGTTAACCAAATAACAAGAACATGAAGTTGTAAGAGCCAACTACCTAGTCTGCAGTTCTAGATATTGAGGTCTAGTATCTAACACGTGAAGTTAGAAATCTAATTCTGACCTGTACCAAACTTGTCTTTTGAAGTTTTAGTGCCTGTAGTGAGACTAGAATGAATAGACTTTGTTGTAAATTAAACTGATGTTTTGGACAGATGTGTCAGAATGGAGTCTGAGAGAAAAGACTTACTCAAGCTTTATTCTAAAATAAAAATCACATTTATTATCACAAGTTGCATAAAATCAGATAGATACAGCTTTTACAAAAATGCTTGATAGAAAAATATTTGTCTAAGTACAGTGTGTGGTATTACAGGAATAACTCACTATTGCTGTGCCTTTAGATAAAGCTTCAAAAGAAGTGAAAGTTCAACCAAAATTGAGTATATCATCTATTGCAAACACAGGTTTGTTCACCTCTGGAACAAACTACACTTACTCATTCAAGATCCATTACAAAAAATACCCCTTCGTGCAACTGACTTCATAATATAAACCACTCTACAACTCTGCTGGCAGTTTGTTTGGGACTAATTAATGTAACACCATTTCTAAGAATGGCACTAGTTCCACAGTGACATTCATTTATTTGTGCTGGGAAAGTCAATTCCTGGTAATGAAAGCTTCAAGGAACAGTCGCCAGATGCAGGTAGTCAGAACCTGACTGGTACGTGTCCCAAAGGTCACTTAGTTTAGCATGTAGTAAATACAAACTCAAAAAAGGTAAATTATGAAGCCGTAACACTTTTAATTTGGTATATGGGATCAAAGCGCTTAAACCGTAGTAGCATATCCTGTCCTATCCACCAGAGATTAAACCATTTCCAATTTGATACTAGCAGTTACGGTTTCGGGTACAAAAGACATTATTGCAGTGTTAGAACTGAAGCAGCAACCCAGCCTTTGACTGTTGCTATAAGCAAGTACAGTTGAAACACTAGTACTTTGCTACAGCTCAGTGGTAGCAGCATTTTTCTAATAACTTTTCTTTCTTTCCCCTTGGCAGAGTCTATGACTATTCAGAGGGTCAAAGGATTGCTGTATCGCTTACTTAAAATTCCTGGTTCAGAACTGAAACTGTCCTACGAAAGTTCTAAAGTGAGTTAAAAATGGGTAATTCAACAATAGGATACTGCATGCTGCTAAAGATCAAGAGCATGTTCTAAAATACTACCTAATGAAATTGATTTCACTTAAGGAGGGCAGTGTTCATGCTGTAATTGAGAACCTCATTCCTGTAATATGACAGATCCTCCCTGACGGCAACTGCCTGATCTATATTTGATTTACATGAACAGATTTCAGTTTAAGTCTGATCAGCGTTTTTTTCCTCTCTTACTCTAGCTGGAAGGAAAAGAAGTTGAACTGGACAATGACTTAAAGCCTTTGCAGTTTTACTCAATAGAAAATGGAGACTGTGTGCTGGTACGGTGGTGAGAAGGGACTCTCTGGATAGACTGAAGGGGAAGCCAACACTGGAACTGCAGAAGAGTTACGGACTGCCCACAGACAGTATGGACAGCCTGTGCCTGAACACACATATGGGAGAACGTGAATTTCATACGTGGCACCAGAGGGCTATACAATACTACTTTCAGCTCCTAAACTTAATCGTCAGTCTCCATGAAAGCATTTGCTTTTGGCTGAGTTGTCTCACTTGAGAGATACCAAATAGTGCTTGACTGCTTCAATTAAATAAAACTCAAGGTAACTTTTGCCAAGATTTTATACTACCTTCCCATTGCAACAGTGAGAATTTGTTTTACTGTTTTACATGATTTAGTTGTAATCTCTTTGCTTATAATAGGACAAAATTAGTGCCGCACTGAAAGAGGCTACTTGCTCTTTTGTTTTCACCTACTTCCAAAGACCTTAAAGCAAACCAAAGTAAAACAGCAGTAACTGTAGAAGTATCTACGCAGCCTTAAGACTATTTAAGGTCAAAATGTGACAGACCTTTATTCTACCCTACAGTGTTAACATACCACAGTATAAATAAGTTCTCAGCATACTGCAAGGCATTGCTATTTATTTTACATTCTTTAGTGCGCTGTTCCTCAATCTTATTTTACTTTTCACTTGTGTACCCTCAGATTCATATCTTAATAACACATTGAGCTATCAGAAATCCCTCCTAATCAGGCCAAGTTTGCAGTACTTCAAGATTTGGTATAAGCAAACTTTGATATTGTTTTCGTCTAAAATGACAATAGTATAAACAAACTAAACATAAATCCTAACCCCTAGCTGTCCCAGCCCCTGCACAGATGAGAGCAACCCCTCGGACAGCACAGAACCTGCTGCAGCAAGACTTACCGCATGCCCTGGTGCTGAGCACAGCTCTCTACTGGATCCTGGTACGGCTCTATACTGAGTTAAATCAGTAGTACTTTAATTTACAAAAGACAGGCTAGTTGGCATTCTTATGTGCATTTATTAATTACAAGTAGGTCTTTGACTTTATATAAAAAGGAAATTTTTTATCTTAAACATTTTGGGTTTTGTCAGATCAACATCTATACTATAGAAAACGAATAGTATCAGTCCGCTTGTAATTATCAAAAGGGGTGTGCAAATATTGTTATACTTTAGTTGAAACCCAACACGAAAAGATACCTTAATATTCCTTATTGTTCCGAGAACGAATCCAAGTGTACACTTTTCCATGATCATTATACACTACTCTGTTTTCCAAGGCAAGTCCATCATCTTTCCTCACATCTACAAGGATCTCCACAGAGTTCCTTTAATCTCCAGAGCTCTCTCAGTTCCTGTGGAGAATACTGGGGGGAAGACAGCATTCCACTCTCACACGTCTTCTCACACAACCAGAGACTATCCTGTTAGGGAGAGAACCATTTCAATAGTTTTTCTTACCAAGAATTTAGTCTTCGACAATCTTTACTTCCAAGAATCAGGTTTTCATTATTTCTAGCAATAAACATTGCACACAAAGGTCACCAACTAGAAGTATATGTCTAGACCTATTCAGAGAACTTGGGGGATGGGGGCTGCTGGTGGTGAGGGGGGTTGGTTTGCATGGGTTTGGTGGTTTTTCTTTTAAATACATTTTAACAAGTGTTTTCTGGATTTTAATCCAATGTCTGTTTCAAATTTTTTTTAAAGAAAAAGCATTTCCTCTATTTTATGCTATTTGGAGCAACAGGCATGTTCTCCTTCCATGAGATCAGAGAATTTCTTCAGACTCACTTGATATCGCTTGGGTCCTACAGCTGCCATCCAGATGCCCATACTCACATCCTCACCCTGAGACAACACATTAAAATAAAAAATACAGATATTAGCACCCCGAAAGCACAAAGTGTGACTTTGGGAACTAGAATAAGTTGCATCGTGTACCAGCAGTAAAAAATAGAAACTACAAAAACCTATGTCTGACTCTTTCAGAGGTGTTAAATTACTCCTCCCAGCTTTCCTGTGATAATACATTGTTCTCAAAAGAAGACAGTACAAAAATCAAGGTTACAGCTCCAGAGGTTCTCTGTCCAAAACAGTTGTGCTTTGACCTAGAAGAGACACTAAGAGTGACCAAAAGCACTGCAAAAATCCAGCATCAACCAGGGGAACCCAGCACTAACACTTGAGCAACGTTCTTTCCAACTCATCCAGTACACATGCTGCTCCCCAGACCAGTTTAAGATAGAAAAACTGAACCGACGCTTTACTACCTGGTACGTCTTTAATCTTTCAGAGTTGCTTGCCAGCCACTGAACAATGTCTTTGGAGATGATGTAGCCAGACCCACAAGCAAAGGCTGGATATGCAGGACTTGGGTACTCCAGCTCTTGCCATTTCCCAGTTCGATCAACTGCCCAATTTAGTCTGAAACTGAAGACCGTGTTAGACGTGAGATATTTATACAAAGTCCTCTGTGAAACCTATGAACACTGCTAGCAACTGAAGTAACATTGATAATAAACAATATTAAGAGGAAGTAGCAGCAGGTGATCCTAATTATAGTTCCTAGCCTTATTTCTCTAGGGACACATCTAGTCCAACACAACAGCTGAAAGTGTGACTTGTTTGGTCTCAATCTTGGGTAATAAGAGAAAGTTCTCTGAACAGAAACAAACTGCAGCATTGACAGTCAGGTCTTCTGCACCCCCTGCTGGGTTTTGATCCAGGTAAGCACAAGCGTCCTGAATTATCTTCTGTAACAGGTAGATCTATGTCCAACCCCCTTTTGTTAATCAACACGACACAAAGTCGGTGCCTCTGGCAGGCATGCAGTTACAGCGATGTTACACAACCCCTTGTCCTGATAAAACTAGTGGCTGCTTAAAAACCAGGAAGCAAGGCAAAGTAGTGGGTTTTTTTATACACCTCCTCTAAGCTGTTTTCCAAACGAAACTCAACAAAGCAGATGTTCAAAGGCTGCCATCACTGCATTACAAAAAACCTTCCTGGCAGTCATCTTCTCTAGGGAAGATTGTACTTACTATTGGAGGCCTTCAGAAAGCCAGCAGTGCTCCGCACAGTCTCTCCGCGCTGACTCCCATCCCCTGGCAGTGTGGCATAGCTAGCTTTAACACGCTGCCGCACCATGCAGCACTACGGACCCTGTTCAACTGCTGTGTCGGGCAGTGAGAAACGCCCTGTTTTTCCTGTTCAGGAACAGGCTGGTATTACACTCCTCTTACCTTACAAGAACTTCATGCACTCACAGCTAAGTGGCATAACTGTGTCAATGCAGCAGGTTGTCCCCCTTTCTGCAAACAGGTTCAAGCGTTGCTGCATTCAGTCACGAACGCAAGCAGCTAAAAGCTTTAGTGAGCTACTAAGAATTGTCACCTCAGACAACAGCCCCATAAGGGACAAATCACAGTTCAGTTGCAGATCTGTTATCAGACTCTACACGTTCACAGCTGAAGCTGACGTGTTAAAGCACAAAGTAGATAAAAGTCACATCTGATACCTGAGCTCACTTCAGACTCGGTATCTTCCACTCTTAGCAAGTCACAGCAGGAAGGGTGCAACCCCCTCCAGACTGAGGGGCACCCGCTTTGCTAATCATTTAATACCTCTGTAGTGATTTCAGCATTGTTCTTTACATCTCACGCTTACCTTACCTGAAAACTGTGACTATTAGAGAATTTACACTTGAAGATGTCACCCCTACATAAAGGTCTCCAGAGAGATACAGAAAAGATGTTTTGTCCAACTCTTCCCTCCCAGCACTTGTCACTCATTTTGTCAGTAACCTCAAAATGACTTGATACCTTAACACACCATTTCTACAGCAAGACTCAGCAAAGCTCATTTTTCAGTCTGCAGAAGAAAGCATTATTGATCCTCGTAAGTTCATTCAATGGCTATTCTAAGGCAAGTCTAGAAGTCTGTTACTAGAACATGAAGCATGTTACACTCAACAGCGCATCTTACACCCCAGGAAAAGGGGAGGTTCATATTACAAGTTAAACATATATTCATAGAAAACTTTTTCAAGTATCTGAAGTTTCTTTTTGGCCTAATTAAGGTCAAGAAAAGGTGCCATTCTGAACTCCCTCTGCTTTCCATAGCATGGTAGATGAGCCAACTTCGGTGAACTGCCTTTTCGTTTACAGCATTCATATTAGATTCAGTCTCCCTCAGAAACAGCTTGGTACATTCTACCCCATCGTAAATTTGGTCATTTGCACACATGACCAGTGATCCATCAAAGACTTCTCTCATGCCTGAGGGTGACCGATCTTTTGACTGCAGTTCTAAAAGAACAGAATAGCAGTAACTTAAGATAAGTATGCTCTCTCCAAGATGAGTCAAAGTTCTGAAGTAGGATACCTGGACCATTTGGTTTTCCAGCTTGCAGTCCTGAAATGCTCTAAATTAGCTAGATGATAAGCTTTTTAAACGGTGATTTAAAATTAATGAACAAAACCACCACACAATATGAAGTGAGAGACAGACTCACGTTATTACCTGACAGCACACATAAGTACTGCTCAATCCAAAGCATTCCCTTCCCAGTTTCACTGAGATCTCATCCCTGGTTTCTGCCAGAGTAAGCTGATAATTTCAGAATTCACAAGAACGCTGGTAAGTTTCTCTAAGAGTACAGGAATTAATTAAGTATCAACAGATTATAAGGAACACTGGACAACGAACAAGAAACTTGAGAGTTTCTTGAGAGAGCTTAATAAGGTATAGATGAAGAATGCAAAGTTTTGAGTTCTCAGACACGTGCTCCAAGAAGCAGAAGGAAGGGAGACCATCAATAGTCACCTCAAGGGCCAGATATATTAACCTTCTGCTCAAGAAATTAAGGTCTCCACACACCAGAACCACCTCTCGGAGAAGCCTAACAGCATTTCACGTGCACTTTCACCAATGCTCAAGTCTAAATAGACAAGATGTCACTGAGTTGAAAGGTAGGAGAGCTCGGAATGATTCCCCAAAACCACTCAGAAGACTCTACACTCAGTGGTTACCCACAAAGCCGAACACATAACCAGAAAACTCTAGCCAAGGAGCAGGCCCATCGTAGGCAGCAACACAAAGGCAGGAACACCTACCTTTGCATAGGGAGGGACACCAAGGAGAAGGAGGGCAATCTCTATCGTATCACATCCTCAGCTCATACAGCCAAGAACATGCTCTTTTTTTTCAGCAGCAGGAACAGCAGCCCAGGCAGCTTATACGTAGTGCTATTTTTCCTTTTGCAAGTTGGTTTCCATCTTGTCATCAAGTTCCTGACCTTTTACATTGCTAGAATGACCCTATCTTACCTTCACTATTAGCCTTGCCTTGTGGTAAAGGCAGTCCCAAGAAAATTGAACAGGCACCAGGCAATCAGGGGTTTTGTACAGGCTAGAGAACACATGCCCACCACTCAGGTCTTTGAGATCATCACAAGATAGCCAGCTATTCCACACACTTCAACACACACACTTCCACACACTTTATTAAATCACCTTACGAGTAAGCAACAGTCAGTACCAGATCTGTGAAGCAAGACAGCTTTAGCAGCAAAGGGCAGCTTTTCTTCAATAAGCAGATGGCAACAGGAAGACACATCATGCTGTTGTGCTATATGGAATGCTATAGCAGCGTAGCATTTCTGCTATATTGGATGTTACACCAGTGTAGCAATGCATTCCGTGGATGGAAGGGAAGGGAAGAGATGGGCTATTTTGATCCTCCTAGTTATTCACAAGTGTAATGCAGGCTGGGGAACTTCACTAAAGAATTCACAAAACAGACCTACCATTTCAGACAGCAGCAAAGTGGGCAGCAATGCCTGTCATTCACAGACTTCAAAATAAAATGCAGATTATAAAGGCAATTTTGTTTCTCCTGTTTACCCCATTTACTCAAGCCCACCAGAAAAATCACAGTGGCTTCAAAAAAAAGTAAAGTTTGCAATTCTAGTATGTACTTGCATTTTAACTTTACTGTACTGCTGGAATACTTTTATTTACTTAAGTACCGTGACAAAGGCATATACAACACATTTTAAAACTAGGTAAGGTATTCAGCAAGTTCAACTCATTGTAAAGGCACACTCTGGAAAGCTATTGTAAAGTATTGATTTCTCTATTTTGAGATTCAAAGTTCTACACATACAAAAGTCCTGCTTTTTATAACTAGCTTCCGTAAGCAGAAAAGGGGAACTCACATGAAAGCAGACTTAAAGCATTAAACCGTTCACTAAAGACATGGCATCTCTTAAAGACAAGTTAAAAAAAACAACTCACTTTCCCCACCAAATGTTTGGCCTGTCCAATTTTTTCTGCATTATCCTGTTAAAAACAGCCTCCAAATCAATGTAACAGTCATCATCTGTCTTCAGCAACAAATCAAAACTCGTTGACTCAACAGTCCTGTAGCCAAAAAGAAAAGTGATGAGATGCTGAGCTGCAGCCCACAAACTACAGTTATGCAACAGAACACTCCGCAAGGGTTTTTTGGGAAGCAGAGGGGGAAGGAAGAGGGAAGGAATGTCTTTCCTACCCTTGACTTTTAAATGTTTTCCCTATTGACCAAGGCTGACTGCTTGTCCTGGTTTTGGCTGGGATAGAGTTAATTTTCTTCCTAGTAGTTGGTACAGTGCTGTGGTTTGGATTTAGAATGAAAATAATGTTGGTAACACACCGATGTTTTAGTTGTTGCTAAGCAGTGCTTACACCAGTCAAGGACTTTTCAGCTTCCCACGCTCTGCCAGGTGCACAAAAAGCTGGGAGGGGGCACAGCCAGGACAGCTGACCCAAGCTGGCCACAGGGACATTCCATACCATGTGACGTCATGCTCAGTATAGAAAAACTAGGGGAAAGCTGAGCATCGGTCAGCAGGTGGTGAGCAATTGCGTTGTGCATCACTTACTTTGTATATTCTTTTATCATTATTATTATTTTCCCTTCCTTGTCTGTCCTATTAAACTGTCTTTATCTCAACCCACAAATCTTACTCCCCCAATTCTCTCCCCCATCCCACTGGGTCAGGGGAGTGAGCAAATGGCTGTGTGGTGTTTAGCTGCCTGCCAGGTTAAACCACAACAGAGATGCAGCTGCATCCTATGATGACCTTACAACACGGATTTGTGTATGAGCTGAAGAAAACAAACTTAAAGTTGGACAGCTGGTGGATTTACTGATGAATCCATCTTAAACAGTATTGACCTCAGAAGGATATGAGTCCCTTCTGATGATGGCAGCACAGCTGTTAAATGCCAGTGACTACATGTCAGCAGCCTACTCTTCAGGATGAGACAGTCCGTTCAAGGGCAATACAACTGTAGAAGGCTGTAAGAAATATCTGGGGAAACAACTTGGTACTTACTCTTCCTCAGTAAAGCACCCTTCAAATATGAAAAAAGTAATCTTTAACTGCCTGAAACAGTTGAATATCTGTCACTTGTAAAATAACCAAAGCAGCTTAAAATTCTAGGGATTATTCCTTGGTTGAGTAACAAACACTATTTTTAAGGGTAATTTCTCTTAACAAGAAATGCATTTTCCTTAAGCCTTTTATTACTAAATCTTGAAAAATTTGCTAACCTGTAAGAAATGATCACAAAGATCTAAGTCTTGACATTTAAACTCCCTTTTTAGAACTGAAAGCATGGTTCAGTTTTTCAGTTACATTCATAACCATGAAATTTGTTAAATAAGTGCATAATCTTGCAAGCAACTAAAACTGTCGGCTATATTTCTTGCTCCACAGCAACATCAATTAATTGAAACAGTTGTCTCAGACTAATGGAAAGAATTGCAAATTAGAGGTAATAACTTATTAGATTCACCACAGACAATTTAATACACTGTGAAAATTCTTCCTCTCAACCTTCTGTCCTCCCTGTACACAAGCTTCCTATCCCTCCCCTCCAGCCAGCACTGGTGAGGCCACATCTGCAGTACAGTGTGCAGTCTTAGGCTCCGCAGTACAAGAGAGACACGGACATACTGGATGGAGCGAGTCCAGCGAAGGGCCACCAAGATGATTAAGGGACTGGAGTATGTCTCCTATGAGGAAAGGCTAAGAAAGATGGGACTGCTGAGCCTGGAGAAGAGAAGGCTCAGGGGGGAGCTCATCAACATCTATAAATACCTAAAGGGAGGGTGTAAAGAGACGGAGCCAGGCTCTTTTCAGCGGTGCCCAGTGACAGGACAGGAGTCAATAGCCACAAACTGAAACACTAAAGTTTACAAGCTGGCCAGAAGCCATCCTTTAAGAGACTAAAGCTGCTAGTTTTCAGTCAGAACCAAATGAAAAGAAATTGCAAGGAGACATGAAAATTTTCACACCTCGACTCTTGGAGCAGAAGCCTGTCTTGTCAGCTCATGCTTATTTGAGGCACCAAGGGTCAGCATTCAAGAAATACAGATCCTGTTGTTTTATTCATTAGATACACTACATGCCCCCAAACTTGTGACAGAGAAATACAACTTAATGAAGTACATCACATAAGGTATGTGTTTCATGGAACCTGTCAGATAATGTAACATGCTGGATCACCTTGCACTACAAACAGCAACATTCCTAAGAGAAAATGCTTTCTTTTCAACTTACCATCGGTAGAAGTTCAGTAGTTTGGCTGGAACATTTCTGTAAGTGTCAATAACATCTACAAAAACAATATCGTCATAGGTACTGCTTTCTTCCTTCAATAAAGCATCTTCTTTTTCAAGATTTTTTATGTGACTTGTAAACCTTTCTGGGCGAGTATGGAGGCTTTTTAAAAGAGCATCACCTTCTGAAAGAAGCAGCACCCATCATTAAACAAAGATGCATACCTACATACTATTTCACATGTTTCTCCTGGATCATACACAACATACTAACAAAATGAATCTGAAGAAGTGTTCAACTCAATGGGGTTATGAAAATCCTACAATCAATTTAAAAATTTCTATGAAATGTTAAAAGTTGCATAACAACAAAGAAATTTATTTTTGCATAAGGTCTGATACAGATTACACAAAGTTTAAAGTAAAAAAGTATTCTCTTCCTTTTCAGTAATAAAAGGATTCAACTTTCTAAGGTTCTTTATATTAAAGAGCTGTCTGGGACTTCACTATTACTCTTACCGGTAGAGTAAAAAGGCTACCGTTATATCAATTACTCCGAAGCATATATATCTAGCATTAAAAAATAAACCCCCAAACAAACAAAAAAAATCCTATGCTAAATATAATCAAACTGGCATTGCTTTGACGTAGCATAGGCAGTCCCCGCTGAATTTTATCACATAACTGACTGTAGATAAAAGTTAAAAAGATATTGCAAGAATAGTGAACTTCTTGGTAAGAAGATAGTTCGTGGTACTGAAGAACTTTTTGACAAACAGGATGGAAGGGCTTTAGCACACCTCAGTTTAGGCTCCTACACAGATGACAAGACAACAGGACTGCCCAATTTATATCTGCCAGGCCTAACTACAAAAACACAGGAATAACGCTCTGAAAGTCACTGCTCATGTGGCTATGATGGACCGATAAGAATACATCAACTCTAGTGCTATGGGGCTGCAATCTTAGACATTGAAAAGGACTCCTATAGGGTCTGTGAACATTCTGCTGAAATAGGTGTAAACCAGCAAAAATAGAGGTGGAAAAGCAGGCTATGTTAGGTAGTCACTGTCAGTAGTTAGTATTAAACATCATGACATAGTACTTCTAAAAGTAGCAAGACTGGAAAAAACGTTAAAATTATCAGAGAAAGATTTCTTGAGGACGACATTGCACATAATTTTTTAACTTGGGTTTGGGTAACAAAAAACGAGGACAGAGAAGAGAGTCTAGATAAAAATGGTATTTCTGTTAATAAAAAGACAAAAGGATGCAAGTCAATTGGAGTGGCTGACAAAGAGCAAGCAAGGAAACCATATCAGGACATTGACATTAGGCCTAAAAAAACCAGAAAGAAATGAATTGTTTCCACTAAAAACTTAAGTTGATCAAGTTCATAGAGATAGCACAAACTTTACCTCAGAAATGCAATTTAAAGTTACTGTTTTACCAGTAAACATGATGTTTTACCATCAAACATGATGTTATGTTTTGCAGACTTACCTTGAATAGTGTAGATAAAACCACCTGCTATTCCCTCCACACCTTCTGTGAGTTCATGTGGCAGCGACCCTTCCCCTGCCTGCTAGAGACAGATTAATGGAAAGAAATACATTAGTTCATCTCTCATTACTGATGTGTTTTTCCCTGTGATTTTAAGGTGTGAAGTTTTCTGGCAACTGAGAATGAAATTAATTTAAAGCTCTTCTGGTTTAGGTACCTGCATAATGAAAGACTAAGACTAAGGTTTTTAACTGTAAAGTTTTGTGGCATTTTTTGAAGTTTCACCTAAAACTAGCAGTACCACTGAAACTTTTAGAAAACTAGTTTTGAAGTTGAGAGCAAAATGTAAAGTTATTCTGGCTAAATTACAACAGCACAGCATGTTTAAGTAAGCAACGTTTTGACAGGAAAAGGGACACATTGCCAAAAAGCAAAAAAACTGGCTTAATCCCATCGATTGGGATTTTAGCACAGGATTTTTGACCCATGTTTTATGGCCATCTCTGATATACTGATACTGCTTCACACCTGACAAAGACAATAGGTGAACTTTACTCCCTTCAAAATAAAAGAAAATGACGCTTACTAGCATCATTTTTTGCATGCCCTGTCCTTTTCCCAGGCAAAGCAAACTTTCCCTCTGAGACAACAGGAGAAGCCCAACTGAATTAACGATTTACAGAGAAACACAGGAAAGCAAAATGCTAAATACCCAAGAATTACAGGAAAAATAGAAACATGGTGGAAGGGAAGGTGAGATGACTCACTGTAATGACTCTGAAAACACCCCCTCCATCATTCACCATCACTTTATGAAGGTTTCTTGAAACAAGGCCCTGAAGATCCTGGCTTTCCCACACAATGGTACCTTCAAAACTCTGGTAAGAGAGCAAAACACTGTTATGCAGGTATTCAAAGACTTCAAAGGATGAAAATCAAACAGTTTGGGGGTTTTTATGTTAAAATAGTCAACTTCAAGCAACATATAGCTTGAATGCACAACATAGATGCTTTACTTAGACTTCAATAAAAATGTTACACATAAAAGAAATACATCTGTGAAACTCAGTAACACATAATCATGCTTTTAAGACTAATCATGAATCTCTATATTAGGAACATTAAACTTTTAATAGAAGTCTAGTGTAAAAGGCTTTGGCTTTCTAACATCATTAAGATGGCATTTAAAGGTGACCTGAAGTGAATATTTAAAAATCAACTATAAAATCCCGCATTACAAAGAGAATACATTAAAACAGATTTGGAAATAAGTGCTGCTTTTTAGTTATCTGCCAAAACCAGAGATCAGAGACTCGATCCTGACATCAGCAAAACTCAAAGGAAAATACAACCACCTTTATCCTGCAAAGCTGTCACAAGCTACTGTGGGAGAGTCACAGAATTCTGACCTCACATCTTGGCT